AGTGATGTCATGGCTGTCGCCGGCCAACGAGTTGGTGTTTTTTCAATGTATGCTTCAGACACGGGTCACGACGAGGCGTTCCCCATAGCGACCCCTAGAGGACGCAGTGTCTCGTTCCCATGAAAGGGAAATATATATATCACAAATCATAAATAAAGACAAGATAAAGAAAAGAAGTAGCAACTCACTTCAATGTCTGACTTATATTTCCTAAGAAAGACTTTAGTTGGGTAACATTTGTGAATCAACTTGAATGTTATTTCTTTTACTTTATTGGTAAGCTTTCTCCCAAGGTATATTCTCCACAATGCTATTCCAATAAGGTATTATGTAAGGAATTGTTGTTATCTCTCTCTGAAAAAGAGCTCTAATTTTATAGTTATTTTTTTGTTGATCTGTAGAAAAGCAAACACTTCCGATCATTGTGTCAGTTAAATTCAGAGTGTAAGTACATGGCCATGGAAGTGTAGTACCTTGCAACAGAAAAGACACACCAGAGGGAATGGCATTGAAAACAACCGCATATAGGGGTTATGCGCAACAGACTTCCGTATTCTGTTAACCGGGTCTCGTCGCTTCCGGTTCAAGCGTTTTGCATATGCTTAGTTAAATATGAAGCAGTTTTACTCAAGATGCCTTCAAAGTAGATACCAATGATGATCATAACCAATGTCCATCACATATGCGGACTGATATCTAAAAGTTTTTTTTATTTTTATTCTTTTCACATTTAGATATAAAAACTGAATAAAACGTCAACAATAAAAACAGCTAGCTAGTTTAACTTATCTTAAAAGTCCATAGATATCGCTATTATTTAATACGGCTGTTAACACGTTCTCCGACAAGCGGAAGCGATGAGACCTGTTTTCCGGGTTTGGTCAGGTGATGTTCGACATATACCCTATTCAACAGCAGATACAGGAATATTATATTACTGTAAGAAATCTAATTCAGAGTGTAAGTACATGGCCATGGAAGTGTAGTACCTTGCAACAGAAAAGACACACCAGAGGGAATGGCATTGAAAACAACAGCATATTCATCAGCAGATACAGGAATATTATATTTCTGTAAGAAATCAGAGTAGTTGTAAAGTCTGCCTTGTGAATTAAAAAGCTGTCCAACTAAAAGAAGATTGTTTTCGAACCAGTTGTCAAAGAAAAGTGATTTATTCTTGTAAAGAATATCCTTATTGTTCCATAAATAATATCTGTGCGGAGAAAAGTTGTGTTTGTATATTAAGGACCAGGCCAAGAGCATCTGCTTATGGAAATTTGAAAGTTTGGTAGGGATTTTTTAAAACATTATAATTACAGAGTAATAGGAAATTCAGGCCACCAACTTTAGAAAAAATATAATTTGGGATAAAATTCCAAAGTGAGGAGGTATTTTTAAGGAAATTCTTAAGCCAATTCATTTTAAACGTATTATTTAAAGTAGTAAAATCTACAAAATCCAGTCCCCCTGTTTTGTTGGGTTCATTATTACAGAATATTTTCCTAATTAATGCTGTTCAGTTGCTTTGACACAATCTGTGTTGTTAAAAGCGCTATATAAATAAAGGTGACTTGACTTGACTTGACAGACTTCCTAATATAGTGAGTTTTATTTTTCCAAACAAAATTGTTTACATGCTATCAATTCTTTGTAATGTTCCTTTATCAACCTCCAAGGAAAGAGCAGCATAAGTCAGTCGAGACAATCCTTCGGCTTTAGAGAGTAAAATTCTTCCTCTTATTGATAAATCTCTCTGCAGCCACGAGTTAAGTTTACTTTGGGTTTTCACTATTAGAGGGTCAAAATTTAGATTACATCTTGTTTTTTGGTCTTTATTCATTAAAATTCCTAAGTATGTAACTTGATCTTTCACAGGAATGTTAAATATAGAGGGAAGATCACAGCGTTTGATTGACATTAACTCACATTTGTTGATATTCAGGCAGAGACCTGAAGCTCTGGAAAAGAACTCAATCAAACTCAAAGCTAAAGGGACTTGGGAGACGTCATTCAGAAATAAAGTAGTGTCGTCAGCCAGCTGGCTAATAATAATTTGTCTATCGTCAATTGTGATACCTTGTAAATTATTAGTGGAAATATGCAGAGCTAAGAACTGAGAGGCAAGTAAGAATAGATATGGAGATATAGGACAGCCTTGTCTTACTCCACGTGACAAATCGAATCTTGGTGAGTTTCTGAATTTTAACTTGATAACTGTTATTATTTCTGTATAAGGTCCTGATGCCATATTTCATTGCCCCACTGTGACCTCCAGAATTTGGTGTCTTTAGCTGTAGAGTGACTTTCCCGGAAAAAACAGAAATCTACTTTGTGCCTCTTAGAAAACAAAAATAGAGCCTTCCTTTTAACATTGTTTTTCAAATCCCTGGCATTTAAAGAAAACAAAGACAAAGACATAAAAATGAAAGAAGAATAGACTAGCCTACATTAGTGATGTCTGGTTCGCGAACGAATCGTTGTTTTCTTTTTAGTGAACCGGTCGAACCAGTTCCCCAAATCGGACTGAATCGTCCATTAAGCACTGAGCCACAATTATTTAAGTTAGCCTACTCACTTTTTTGGCGTCCCTGGCAGTCCCTTCGACTCGAAATAAACAAATATTTAACTGATTGAAGTTATGATTACTGACTTTATATTTGAATGTGTTTGAGTGTATTTTCTTCTGCCGGGATGATAGAATTAACGTCACTATGTTAGGGCGTAAAAGAATCGGTTCATTGAAACAAACTATCCGAAAGAACCGGTTCGCAGAAAAGAACCAGACTTCCCATGACTAGCCTACATATGTGGTGTATGGAGGACGAGAAATGTCTTAAGTATAAATAAATAAATGTAGAAATACATAAATTAGGTTGAGGCACGCAATGAACTAAAGTAACGCCTGGTTTGAAAATGTAAGAAGAAGAAAGTACAGATATTTGTGTAAAAAGGAGTGAAAATAAGGAGTGTAAGGAGTGAAAATAAAAAGTTGTCAGAAAAATAATTAGGCCTAGTGAAGTAAAGTAGCCTACTGACACCAGAAAAATCTACTTAAGTACATTAACGAAGTATTTGTACTTCGTTACTTCCCATCTCTGATATTTATAATATATAACGAGGTCCACTTATAAAAAATCTGTCCCAAGCACTTGTCTTTTAGTTTCATTTTACAGATGGTGGGTGGAGATGTTGTTCTTTCAGCCTTAAGATTTACATCTCTGTTGAACACAAGTTAATCCAGTTTGCTT